CTTGAGTTCCTGCCTTGGTTACCATGGAGATGGATTGAGTAAGGCAAAGAAGCCCTTTTTGCCTCTAAGTTGCTTTTAGTCTATGCTTTATCTCAGATGTAGAAAAACCAAGGGAGAATGTATGTAACTTGAGAAGACACTCCAAATTGCTTCAAGGGCCATCTTTTAGCCTACAGTAGGTAATTAAACACCTACACTATACATTCTATTGCCAACATGATGTGGTTTCTCATTCTGCATTTCTCATGTTATTGTGAGTGTCCTAGAGTTACTGCATTTTACTCATTGTTTTCCGTGCTGGGTATTTTTACGTCAACAGGACACAAGCTAAAGTCATTCAAAAGAAGGAAATATCGATTATGGAAATACCTCTTTAAGACTGGGCTGTAGGGATGTCTTGTAGAGTATTTGTTTAAATTAGCAATTGATGAGGGATGGCCGAGCCCATTACAGGGGTTACCTCCCCTGCTAGTGGTCCTGGCTTCTATAAGATCTGTGGTTGGACTCCCAGAGCTCCACCTGGGGCTCAGCCATGGATCTCTGCATCTGCTTCCATCAGACACTGGATGAGAGTTCTCTCATGACAGGCAGGGTGTTTGGCAATCCAATCACTAGAGCAGGTCAGCTCAGGCACTCTTTCGACCATTGCTCAGCCTTGATGTAGGGAGGAGGGGACTGGACCTGCCTTAGCTGAGTCTACCAGGCTGGGCTGACTTCCCAGGAGAGACCTTGCCTTGGAGAAGGTGGGAATGGGGAGTGAATTGGGAGCGGGGAAGGCTTGGGGTAGGAGAAGGGAGAATGAGGGAATCTGTGGCTGATATGTGAAATTAAGTTAATTATAAAATAAAAATACTATAAAAAAGAAATTTAAAAAAAGGGGGAAAAAGACCTGCGATTGGTATGTAAAGGGAATAGAAAATTTATTAATAAAAAAATGAAAAAGAAAAAAGAAAGTAAGTTGAGCATGCCATGAGGAGCAAGCCAATAAGCAGCACTCCTCCATGACCTCTGCATTAGCTCCTGCCTTCTGGTTCCTGCACTGCTTGAGTTCCTGTCCTGACTGTTTTTTGATGATGAACTATTATTATATGGGAGTTTGATTGAAATAAACCCTTTCCTCCTCAAGTTGCTTTTGGCCATGGTGTTTTAGGTAACCCTAAACTAAGACGGAAATTGTATCGAGGTTGGGGCATTACTGTGACAGGCCTGGCCACATTGTCCTGGGGAGGATTGTGGAAGGACTTTGGAAGTTTGGGCAAGAAAAGCTTTGAGTGTTCAAAGACTGGTGAGCTGTTCTGTCGGAACTTGGAGGAGTATTGACAGCAGTACAAATGCTGGAGGACTGGCTTATGCCATTCCAGAAGGAAGCGAGAATGACTTAAAGATTATATCAGAGCAGCTGTACATTTGCTATTTTGAATTAAAATTCTGAAGTTCTGGGCATCTGAGGCTGAAGAACCAACCATGAGAAACAAGAGAGCAGAGCCACCAAAATGAAACCTTTGCTTTCCTGGGACAACTGAGGCTGGTTACCTGGAGCTGAGAAATTAGCAGTGATTAAAAAGAGATCAGCAGCATCTCTGAGGTAAAATCTCCTTAGAAGTGTTTCTGGAGAGTCAGCAGACAGAAGCTATGCGGCAGAGGTGGCCAAGGTTGGACCTGACTGTAGCAGCTGACGTCGGTAATGTAAGCGTCACCCAGGTGGTAGTGGCTTTGAAGACATGAAGGAACTATGGAGGGCAGCTGAGGTTTGGCCCTGTGGGAGGCCAGGAGAGGCCAGTGGTGAAGGTACAGCCTCAGTAACAGCTGAAGACACAGGATTAAATGGGCCATACAGAGTATTCAAGGTTTGGCACCATGAAGAGAGCCCAGGAGAGGCGATTGGTGTAAGTGCAGCCCAGTTTCAGCAGGAGACCCCAGCATTTGGGAGATGCCAATAGCATGGGATGACTACCCAGAACAGCAGCAGCAGTGCAGTGGAGACTGCTAATCTTAGAAAACAAACTGTGCTTGTTGCAGAAGAGGATGGAGCCTGGGAAGTGAACCAAGACCCTCTGAGGATCCCAGAAGATCTTAAGTGAATAACTGATATTGGATGTTGAGTTTGATTTCACTTTGATCTGATTATGACTGTGCCCTTGTTCTTCCTTCTTGAAATAAGAAAGTATTAAACTTATTTTTTATTTACTAGAACCATACAGCCGAGAGAATTTTGGTTTTAAAAAGAGACTTTGGGTGTTGAAAGAGGCTTTGGGATTTTTTAAGAGGCTGAATTTTTAAAGTGAGTTTGTAAGATCATGGATCTTTCTAAGTTTGTAAAATGTTTTATAATGTGATGTTTGTATTAATATGTGATCGTGGGGATGAACAAGAAAGGAAAGGTTGTGGCTTTACAGTGAGGTGTTTGTGTGTCAAATTGACAAGGGTCAATTGTGCTGGATATTTTTATGTCAATTTGACACAAATTAGTCATCTGAGAAAAGGGGACCTCAATTAAGAAATTATCTCCATAAGACTGGACTGTTGGGCATTTTTTTAATTAGTGATTAGTAGTAGAGCCCACCCTACCCCTTAGTTGGTGGTGTCATCCAGGGATGGCGGTCCTAGGTTTTGTAAGAAAGCAGGCTAAACTAGGCAGGGGGAGCAAGCCAGTAGGCAGCACCCATCCATGACCTCTAAATCAGCTCCCGCCTCTAGGTTCCTAGCCTTTTGAGTACCATCTTTCACTGCTTTTAAAGATGAACTGTTATATGGGAGGGTGAACGAAATCAATCCTTTCTGCCCAAGTTGCTTTTGGTCATGGTGTTTCACCACAGCAATGGTAACTCTAAACTAAGACATTTTCCAATTTGGACTCTAGCTGATATCAAACTGAATGAATAAATAGAAAGTGACCTTTCACTTTTCATGTGTGATAATAATTTTAGTTTATACTGACTGAGATTATTGAAAATGTTTCCTTTTTCAATTTTTTTAAATTTATTTTACAAACCACAGTTCCCCCTCCTTCTTCTCCTCTACGTCCCCACATCCCCCTACCCCACCCCCATCCACTCCCCAGAAATGGCAAGGCCTCCCATGGGGAGTCTGCAAAGCCTGACACATCAAGTTGAGGTAGGACCAAGCCTCTCCATCCCACCCTGGCATTAAGGCTGAGTAAGGCATCCCACCTTAGGGAATGGGCTCCAAAAAGTCAGCTCATGCATCAGGGATAGATCCTGGTCCCACTGCCAGGGGCCCCACAAATAGACCAAGACAAACAACTGTCATCCACAGGCAGAGGGTCTATTTTTGTCCCCAGCTGTCGGTACAGAGTCTGTTGGGTTCCAGGAGCTCCAGTCAGCAGTTTCAGTGGGTTTAACACTTCTAAAAGAAAAAAGTTTGTATGGCATTAAATTAGTCTTACATAGTTCTGTTTCTGTTTTGTGTTTTTATTTTGTTTTTTTTTTGATTTTGCAAGACTATTGACATTCATTTTAGCACCATGGGCCTGTTGTTTAGAGAATACTACATGAATAATACAGTCTTTGCTTAGTTCATAAGCAGTTGGTATGAAAAAAATGTTGTCTTTGTGTTTGAAAAAACCCTTTATTTTCTTATAACTGCCATTTGCTTTCCAAGAAGACTGGAGAGTGTGACAGTTCATGTAGTAGAGTCAATTACTTTGGGTATTGATTCTGGATGTATAGAAGCACAATTATCTTGAAACTTTGGCTACATTCAGAAGTCACAACAATGATGTGGATGGAATTGCACTGGTTCACCTTTCCAGACATGTCTATTGCATACAAGGTCATCTGCCTCACTGGGTTCCATTAGAAATTGACAGTACATCTCTTCTTCATCTTTTAAGTGACCCTACAATAAATTTCACATTTTTACAATAGTTCAATGTTATATCTCACTATAATATCCATGGGTTTCAGAATTTTTTTCCATTCTTTACAAAAAAACATCCAAATCTACTTGGTAGGTAAATATTTTTGAACATAATAAGTTTTATAATTAGTAGTTTATATAAGGATACAACGTAAATTACTCCTTTCTCAGAGTGTGTTGCAATGAAAACTCACCTTTAAGATTTCTTTTTTAAAAGTTTTCATGGGAAGTGTAATATTGTCTTTATTTGGATACTAAATCTAAATAGCTTATAAGAAGTAAATGGTCATTTAGAGTTAAATTTTTATTTAAGGTATGGACTTTCTTCTCCTAACATGTCATAAATACCATGAAGCTAATGAAACATGCCACAGTCAAAACTAAATAATTCAACAGAATTATTAAGGAGTTAGTTTGCAAAAATTATTCATGAATCGCAGTTAAAACGTAATCATATCTTCTGTGGAAATTATTTGAAATGGTTGTTATTTATACTTATTTTTATTAAATAAAAGTATGATGATGTGATAAAGGCTCCATGGATAAAGTCCTTACTACACTCGCATGAAGACAGGCCTGAGTTCAGATTCTCACTATCCACATAAATAGATGGACACAGTAGTACCTTCCAGTAACCTTAGTTCTGGAGAAAAGTGCATCAAGGATTTACTGGCCATATTCAGTTAGAGACCCTTTCACAAAAAAAAGAAAGAAAGTGGAGACAGACAAGCACACCATTATGCAAACTTGCACATAGATATACAACACACACACACACACACACACACACACACACACACACACACAAAGTCATATTTGTACACACACTTACATATACACAAGACCTATCAATTTTATCAGGACCACCATATCTCAACGTCTTGAAATATTTGAGCCACCCAAGTACAAAATACTTTTTTTAAAGTGATAATGAGAAATGAGCAAATAAAGATTCAGGAATGAAGAGAATATCTGTTGTAACTATATTCACAATCCCTGGTTGGAAGATATTTGATGAATCCATGAATTTATCACAATCTATAACACAAGGAATATACTACAGTGTGATCTGTGTTAACAGTTTTTCATTGGACATCTTTTCTCCCCTTTGCTTTCCCCAGCTGTAAGCACAAAATGTACCTTGAAAAGCTGCCAAACACCAGCATCATTATCCCATTTCACAATGAAGGCTGGACCTCACTCCTGCGGACCATACACAGTGTGATTAACCGAACCCCAATGAGTCTGGTAGCAGAAATCATTCTAGTCGATGACTTCAGCGAAAGAGGTAAGCTGTACTGGTGACATTTTGTCTGAGGTGGTAATTGCACATAATTGTGGAAACAGAAAGATAGTGAGATGGCTTCTTTTTCATCCCTCTGGAAAGATGATCATGAAGTTTTACCTGTGTTGTGATTGAAGAAAAAAATGTTGGCTAATTGCAAAAGAAACAGTGAGAAGCTACTGGCATGGGAGATGTTGTTGGTAATAAGACATTTACATTGCATTCTACTGGAAATCAGACAGTACTTGGGAAATTGCCTCAAGCTCTACTTCCAGGCATGATAAACATGGAAGCTATGTTGTTGCAGGCACATGTCAGTAGAAAGTTATTCAAATAAGTCTCCAAAGTGTGTTTCTATTTCTGAATAGTATTGTGCCTTGTTCTTTACAGTCTACTACATCCTTGATGGTATGCTAATGTGACTTCACAAATACTACAAGTTACAAGGGACACAAATATAAATTTTTACTCGTAGTCTCAGTTTTGTTTTGTTTTTTAACTGTGTCTGAGCATCACAGAAGCAATTGCTATAGCAGCATAAAAGAAAACCTGACATGATATTAATGATTACCATCCAGGTAAAACACAATTTGGCTCATATGGGAGGGGTGAAGTTTGCTGAGAGTTGGAATTTTTAAATTATAGTTGCTTGAAATAAGAGATTGACAATGTAGAGATAGGAAAGTGCATCTCAGTGTCCATCAATAGATGAGGAAGAGGTTTGAAGATATTCATATATTTCCATAGTATAGTGTACTGCATAAAGGTGCTCTAATTAGCATGACATCTACAAGAAATAGTGGCAATAGATTATTTGTGCCACTATTATTATTTCATCACAGAAGAAAACCCATCTTGAAATCATAAGGCTTAAGTTCTGTTCTGGAAATTGCATCAGCAACAAAGCATGATGTTTTTTACGGCATCTAAAAGTTATATAGAAGGAAGTTTAGTGTGCTGTATTGAGGAGGATTGACTTGAAATACAGATGAAAGAACTGTCAAAGATAAGTAGGTTGTGGATTTTATATGTCAAAAGCAAACAAAATCAATGTTCTTTTCTGGTGTATGTGGCTATCTTGGTCATTTCTGTCTGATTTTACAGAGGTTTCTCCATTCTGTTGCTTAGTATGTATTTGGTACTATCTCGGAATGAAATCCTATGTATAAAACTGCAATAGTCAGAAATCTCTAAAAATTAAATAGCACACTATTTATTTTTATTATAATTAATGTTAAATTTTTCAAAGTAGCCACGTTTATCTCACATAAACATAGGCATTTAAATAAACTTAAAACTTTGTTTACAAAAAGTAAAAAGTACAATAAAATCCAAGGTTGCAGATTGCCAAGTGAATGGTTTTTAGGGTTGGCTAGGGGCAGATGATATTAGGCAGTATACATGTGGGTAATTTTCTGCATAATTAACTTTGTCCCGGTAAACTGTTTATTATGACAGAATTTTTACCCTGTGGTACTGCAGTGGGAAATATATGACAGTAGAATAATGTGCTTTTGAGCATAGTTTGCAGAATATACTCAGACACATTTCAACTGAAATTCTATAGATGAAGTGGATCGATGGTACCTAAATTTCTTAGCTCCAAATTACTCTTGTCTTTGGTGCCAGTAGCTACTTTACAGCAGCGTTCTTCTTCTGTTAGTTTGAACAGTGGTACAGATGTCAAGCAAACCAAACAGGGCCAGTTAAGACAGCAATGGTGATCTTTCCCTTTATTATTGGACATTTTTAAAGGGAAATGATCAAATGCTTATGTGAAGCTTTCACTTAAATATTCCATTCATTTTATTACTTATTGTATTTTTAGACTCTTTATTTTTATCACAGTCCTTCCAGTCCCCTCAACTTTACACAAATCTGTCCCACTTCGACCCACCCGATTTTATATTCTGTGTCCTGTCTCCTCTCTCTTCTTGTCTCAAAAGCGATAGCAAAGGCAATTAAAAATGTGAAAATCCAAAGCAAACATAATAAGACAAAACAAAAAAAACAAGACAAAAAACACACGTCAAAACACAAAGAGTCTATTTTGTCCCTGCCAGCTATTCCTGGGCAATGCCCTGGGCTCTGGTTGGTATACGCAGTAGCTCTCCATTTGAGAAAATCCAGCTGCAAGGCACATTTTGTAATGAATTCAAGACTAAATGTTGAAAGAAATATGTGATAAAAATGCCTCTATAATCACATGTTTTAAACTTATGAATTTATATGAAATAGGAAAATATTTTCCCATGTTTTTATTTGGGATTATGATATTTTTTGATAATTTTATTTGGTATGTATATTATAATCCTTCTAACTACATGACACTAAGTTAGTTAGTTAACTTTTAAGAGCCACACCTGTTTTATCAAAAGGGGAGAATGATACGTCTCCTCATGTAAGTTATGATGAAGATGTGTCTTGGGTGGTCAAAGGACTAGGTGAAGTATGGAACGAACAGAACAGGTGGGACACTGACTTCATCTACTTGCTTGTACTACATACTCCCATACAACTAAAATGTTCTCCATTCTTTTTTGAGAATATATTTGTAATTTCATCAAATATACTCCACGAAGTTCATATTTGTCTACCAAGATCTCTATTCATCTGTCATCTAGCTATTTTCAGAATGCACATGATGACTAACTACAGTGATTCATAAGTTATGAAAAATTTTGGAGTACCTAGACAGAATCACCCATATGAGATTACTAACTCATTATAGACATGTTAAATAAATAAGGTCCCAATAATTTAATTAAAATGGAGATTACACTGTATGCCAATGTTATGCAAATGGACTTACAGGAGTATTAAACAGAATAATTTCCAAAAATGATTTTTTCCATGATAAGATAAGTAAGATATTCCCAAGGCTGGTTTTACTTCCAGAGCCTCTAAGACAGGAGCTACGCCTATCCTTTTTTGAACTTGATATATCTATATAGATATTCCATTAATCCTTTGATTAATAGCATATGATAAGGATATATATATATATATATTTATAACAACATGCATTAGCTTTTTTATAATTTCATAAATTATATCTTTATATTACTTAAAGTTTTTTTTATAAACTCTTTAAAACTCAGAACAAGTAAGCTAGACAAATTTAAAGTCCATAAAGTTGTAGTGAATCTGTTAGTTTCCTTGAGGAAATTATTTCTGAAGTTTTACACTTTATTTTCAGTAATATATTCCAGTCCTAGTTCCTTTTAGTATGCGACCTCACTCCTTACCAGCATATATGTTATGGATATTCTGCAATGTCCTTCAGCCAAAGGCAATAAAAGTTTGAGAAGACTTAATCAAAATTCCCTGCCCTATATTTTAGATGCCCAAAGTCAATAGACTAGTGACATATGATCAAAAAATAAGGGATGGCAATATTTTAGCTATAATAGTAGCTCATGTATAATATCACTTGGATATACCTATTTCTAATACATGTATGTATTACAGTAATTGGCAAATTCTATTATAAAGAAAACACTAAAATATCATGTAGTTATGAATAATTCTGTTTCATTACTATATGTTTTTTTCTAAAAAATCTGCCTAAGTAGGATTGACCTAGTTCTCAAAAGTTATTTTTTTCAAGTCAGTATCCCACCCAGGAGTTCTCAGTTTAGGTACTTTTCACAAGGCAAGATTGGTGAAAAACCATTGTTTTAGTCTCATAAAAATAAGCATACCATCTCTAAAACATTAAGTTTGAGGCCTGCAGCTAAATTTTCAAACAACCTCTGCCTTCTTTTTACTATTTAATGCTCACCTTCCCGTAGTGAGTGAGTGTGTAGCTTTGCCCCAACTAAGCTCATAGAAATATACTTTACAACCTAACTTGAGACCTATAACATGGTTTCATGAGGACTTCAAAGCAGGAGTAATCCTGAGCTTATCTCCAAATTCCAGGCCACCTTAACAAGTATCCCCATGAAAACTGTTAAAATGTGTGAAATAAGCTAGGGCTTATCCTCAGAGATTGGGTGTGTATGAACATGACAATTCTGTAAACTTTGTAAGCTTAGACAAGCACAAGTCCAAGCTAGGTGTAGTCACAGGAAGGCAACAGACACATTTCTGTCAACAGAACATACATGCAGAGGTTTCACTGTGCATCTAGGAAAATGCACAAAAGCACAGCTATACATATACATACTCACACGTTATTGGCCTTCTTTGTTTCAAGCTTCATTATGAACCCAGGTAGACAGTTTACATTTATATTTCTTCTCTGTGTGCTAGATGGGAGGAAAAGAAAGAGACCTTAACGACCTTCACAAGATGGTAATTGTGGTAATTTTGAAGAAATCCAACTTACTTTTCCCCAGATACTCTAGACTGTTGTGGGATATTTGTTTACTGCTGTGGATATCGCTCTGTATGCTGTGAATGTGATGCTCTGATTTGGTTGATAAATAAAATGCTGGTTGGCCAGTAGCCAGTCAGAAAGTATAGTATAGGCAGGATAAGCAGAGAGGAAAATTCTGGAAAGAGAAAGGTTGAGTCAGGAGATTCTTCCAACTGCTGCTATGAGAAGCAAGGTATAAAGATACTGGTATGCCACGAGCCTCGTAGCAAAGTATAGATTTATGGAAATTAGCAAATTTAAGATGTAAGATCCAGCTAGTAAAAAACCTGATATATTAGGCCATACAGTTCATAATTAACAGAAGTCCCTGTGTTTTTATTTATGTCTGAGTGGCTGTGGGCCCAGCCAGGACTGGAGAAAACTTCAGCTACATTTTACACTTTGTGAAAATGTGTCTATGTTTTGCTAGACCCGTCTAAGGTGTCTGATTGGTTTAATAAAGAGCTAAATGGCCAATAGCTAGACAGGAGGAGATAGACAGGACATCTGAGCAGAGATAGGAACTGTGGGAAGAAGAGAGGTAGGTTTTAGAGGGAGTCAGTCTTACAGAATGGAAAAGAGGTAACCATGTGACAGAATGTGGATTAATAGAAATGGGTTAGTTTAAGTTATAAGAGCT